TGTTCTTTATAACAAGTTCTACAAAGTTACCGGTCAAATTTTAAAAATTTTGCCTCTATGTTGAGTAGTAACATTTTAAAATTGAAACATATTGTCGAGTTAAGAGTTTCTGCATCATATTAATATAAAAAAAGATGAAAATCACAGATACAGAAAATTTAATAAAAACTAAATTCATTATAGTTGAATTTCTTTATAGTCAAATCTTTTTATAATTATATTTACGTATATTTCTATTTAACTTTTCCAACTATTAATTAAAATATATTTTTATTATTATATTTCTTATAATTATTCAATTTTATTTTTTAAGAATTATAATTATAAAAAAATTTGATTGTATTTGATTAATATTTAACTTAAATAAATTTTAGCTAATAATGATAAAAACAAATTTGGTTTTATAATAAATTCATTCTCAAATAAGTTAAAATATATTTTGTATTAATATAATATATTTAAATAATAAAATTACAATATTATATTTGTTAAAATTGTTGTTATTCAAAATTTAATTATTTTGTATAATTTTGTGTATATTTTTTTATTTAAATTAAAAAAAATTCTAATTATATTTTCAATTTAACAATATATTATTATAAAAAATTACTAATATAAAAAAAGCATGAAATTTTGAAGTAAAATAATTTTAACAAAAAATTTATAATAAATAACAATCAAAAATATGAATTAATAATAAAAAAATATAACAAAAACCAATTAATAGTAAAATTATATTATTAACAAAATTAATCTTCTTAATATTACCAAAGTAAAATAAATAATTTCAATAAAATTATAATATAATAGCAAATATTTTTAAAGAATAAATATTATAAAGAATATTTTTGTTCAAAAAATTCTATATAAAAAAACTCAATAATAAATTCAGTATTTATTTTTCTTATTTATTAATATAATCTGGTGTAAAAATGTTGATACATGAAAAATGAAAGTTAATAATTACTTCTAATAAAAGTCATACAAAATATAATTAATATTTATAATTTTTTTATATCAAGTAAAGCATATATTTATATAACTTTTTATATTATTTTTAGTATTTTTTTTATACTTTTATTTAAGAATAAATAAAGCAAAACTTTTTACTTTTAAACAATAAAATTTGCAATTTTTAAAATTAAAAATAATTTTAAATATTATTATTATAAATTTCTATTTATACTTAGCAAGTGTACTAATATATATATAATAAATATATATTTCAAATTTTAGCAAAATTATATTACTAGTTATTGAAAAATTAAGCTTTAAGATTTAAAAAATTTAATTTTTTTTATGATATAAATTTATTAAAAATTATTATAAATTATTATATAAAAAAAATAAAATAATTAAATTAAAAAAGTTATTAATTAATAAAACTTTTTATTTTTATTTATATATAATAAAAAAATTATATAAATATATTAGTTATAATTTAAATATTATATTTAATAAAAAAATTTTTTTTATTAATAGCAAAGTGATATATTTATATTTTTGCATTAAATTATATCAAATTATTTTATAATTAACAATCTAATTTTGCTAAAATTTGAAATATATATTTATTATATATATATTAATACACTTACTAAGTATAAATTTCTAAAAATAAAAATTTATAATAATAATATCTAAAAATTATTTTTAATTTTTAAAATTGCAAATTTTATTGTTTAAAAGTAAAAAGTTTTGTTTTATTTATTCTTAAATAAAAGTATAAAAAAATACTAAAAATAATATAAAAAGTTATATTAAATATATTTTATTTAATATAAAAGAAATATAAATATTAATTATATTTTGTATAACTTTTATTAAAAGTAATTATTAACTTTTATTTTTTATATATCAATATTTTTGTACTGAATTATAATCAAAAATAATAATATAATTTGATTGATGTTTTATAACTGAAATTTTTAAATTTTTTAATTAGTTATTTTAATTCTATTATTGATAATTATTTGATTTAATATTATATTTTATATTATATTTATTATTTATATTATATTTATTATATAGTATAAAATATCTAAAAATATTAATTACATGACTTGTTCTATTTTTGATTCAAAAATCAAACAGAATTACCAAAAAATTATATAATTATCACAAAATATATATTATATATTAAGTAATTTAACTAAAATATAATTTATAATCAATTATCAAATTTGATTAAATAATTACAAATTATATTATTTGTTTTATTAATTATTGATTATATGAAAATAGTGAATTTTTAAATAAATATTAATAAAAAATATATGATTACTTTTTAAAAAAGAAATTGTTATTTTATAATTAAGTTAATTTATTATAAAATAACAATCTTCTTTTTTTGTATAATTTTTGTATGATAATTCTTTATTTTTTAAAGATAACTAGTTTATTGGAACTTTAAGTATTTCACATTGTATTTATAATTCATATTATATTTATTATATTCATATTTATTATTATATTGTTTATTATATTATATAATTATTGTTAGAAAATAATTCATATACATATATAAAATATGTTAATTAATAAATTGATCAAAGTTGTAAACAATTGGTTTCATCAAATAAAATACAATTAAATTTTTTTATAATTACTCTTTTTATAATCACATTATATAAAAATCCTGCTATAATCACACTTATGAAAAAATTACTATTGAATCCAATAATGTAACTATAAAGAAAATTAAAATGGATTCTGAAACTATTTATTAGTGCCTAAACTCATAATAAAGTTTATTCTGAAACTATTTACCCCCCCCCCTTTTTTTTGACAAATAGTGCAAGTTACAAAAATAACAAATAAAAGTTCGGCAGAAAACACGGACATTTGACAATATTCAAACCATATATCGGTTTGTATAGCTACGATTTTTTCTAGAGAATCACGAATTGTTAGCGTTAATAATGGATTCTGGCGCAGATATTTGTACGAGTTGCTATCCGAAATTGTTATCCATTGGCTATACAACTCGCAATAGTATTGAAAGTAGTGGAACGTTCAATATAATATATAGTACACAATAATTTTTATGAGATTCATTAAAGATGTAGAAAATCCAGTAGTAATCTTCTTATTCCACATTAGTATACTAATATGTAAACAGAAATATGAATACTATAAATAGTTGTATTGTGAGAATATTTAAAACTATCATATACCTCATCTTCATCATCCTCATCACTTTCATTTCGCGACATATGTATCGTAACTCTTCGTGCTAATGATTTATCCAATTTTATGTCGTTTTCCGTGAGAACTTTATCGCAGCCTGTATTATAATTATTAATAAAGTTTCAATCAAAACGGACACCTTATAATAAAATCTACCTGGAGTCGGACATTTCGTTTGGCCGTTAACTCTTAAATGGGACAGAATAGCATTTTTTGAGAAACTATGTCTACACTTTGTACTGTAATATAACGAAAATCAATTATTAAGTAAAGGAAATAAAGTGAAGATTTCTGACAAGTAACAAATACTAGTGAACCTCGTCACAGGATCTTCAAATATCTTGGTAGTAAGAGGACAAATTAGAGATTGCCTTTCAGTGGATATTATTACATCGTCGTCATCGTTTTCTTCTTCCCTTCCAATTGGTGGCATAGGCGCATCAGGATGTTTGACTTCCTATTTTATTTACAAGGAAGGTGATAACAAGGGAAGACTTAATCAAAAAATTCATTGATATTACTACGAATGCTAACCCATATTTTTTGTCTGAATTCTACGTAATTAGGATTCTGATAATATTTGGACTCATTAGGTGTATCTTCATATTCTCGCATTTTTTTATCTACTTCGGTCTCATAATGCTCCAAAAGATTAGGCTATTATTGTTTAATAGATCGTGCGTGATTAAATGATGAGATCTCAGGATTTTAAAGAAATGCGAACATAATGATAACAATAATAAGACATGCAATCTGTTCTCTCTTGAACAGCCTAGTGCGCATATTTTCCATTATACGTTTCTGAGTTTGCAGCTCGTATTCATAATCAAGAAGTTGCTTCATTGCTTCGTCGAATGGTTCGACCTTTTTTTTTGGAAATGAAAATTTTTAACTAATACTTAAAATGAGCGTATCTTGAAAAACAAGCAAAGTCTAAAAGTTATGATAAAAACCTCCTCTTCAACTTCTTCAATGTCAATGGCTGCATCTGCAGCAAACGAGAACCCTCTTTGAATAAAGTTCAGTGTAACAGTGTAGTCAGAAATTAAAGTGTTTAGTTTGTTCGGGTCATGTACTACTGGTGTTTTTGCTGGTGTTGTTGGAGCTATTGCTCTCCTTACTGGAGTAGAAGAAGACGCTTCTATTTCCATATCAGTCTACTTTTATATTGTTTGCTCGATACAAATGGAGTTTTTAATTGTGTTTGGACCTCACTACATATCAGTACTCGTGTAGCTAGTTTTAGGAGCGCCAGAAATCAGGCATCCCTACCCCACATGATACAACGTCACCTAACCTTATATGTACGTGATTTTTCCCACCCAAGGTAAAAAATCAGCTGATTTCTGGCGCTCCTCTACCATAGAACATGGGGTATTCGGGTCTTATCTGTAGTTATCGTTATAAAATTTGGCCAATTTAATAATAAATTTGATGTCTTCCGAAAATAATTCTCGATCAAAATAATCACATGTACATCTACTTTATCTTTAGGCTTAGACCAAATTTTAAGATCTATCGACGGAATTGCGGTTTTTTACGAACAGTCAAAAAAAGTTTCACTGATCTCTTTAAAGTTTTCGAAATTTCTTCTTGTGCACACAATGCCACATCGCTTATTATGTTTCCTTGTTTTCCTATAATGATTTTCTAAATTATAGCATAAATCAATAAAAAAACAGGATTTCTTAAATATCAATTTTAACATGGATTAACGAATACCTCTTGCGAATTCTTTTCCACGTAAATTATTTGGTCGATTCGCAATGTACCATCATCGAGTTCTGTCCAGCCGAGGTTTTCCTATGAATAGACAGATACGATTAAAAACAATTATCAAAAGAAAAAAGGAAATATCAGAATCAATGATCATACAGCGTACTTGAGTCAACATATACGGTAAATAACTTTTCAATTTCTTGAAAAACTCTACACGAATAAATTCCTCAACGCGTTTCAATTCCCCCATTTCTACTTTTTGCTCGGGCGAGTAGAGCCATTTATGTGGGCGCGTTTTTGAAAATAATAATCCCTAATATGACATATTTTCAATATTTCATCAGATGCCTATTATGTAATAATTAAACATATATATAGATAATACCTTCAATGCTGTCAGATTATAATTGTTCAATGCTGAAATAGCAATATTATCCACGATATGACTATACATTCTTGAATAAGTTTCGTTTAGTTGAGGAATCACATTTTTATTTGATAAGAGATCAATCTGTTTTTCAAAAATTTGATTATTTACATAAAAGCATTCGTGATTCATCAAGTATTATTGATGAAAATTTTGCTTTTCACAATAAATACCTTATTTAAAATTAGAGTAGCCGGCAACTGGTATTCATTTAAGCGATTAAACATCCAATTTTCCGTAAATGTCGAATGATGTGCTGCTCTATACGCGTCGACAAGTACTAATACTTCACGTAAATAAATGTAGAATGAATAAATGAATGAAAAAATACAAATAAATAAATTAAATATTCATACAATGATCGACTTCTCTTATTGAATGCCATGACGCGTTCAGTAGATGTCGATTCATGCGTATACGATTGTGACCTGCTACTATACCAGGTGTATCTAAAAAGATCTAATACAATTGTTTGAATTAAATAAGAAAATAAAAAGATTGAAAATAAAAAATACAAACAATCTGTTTATTATTCTCAGTCAGCACAGCCAAAATCCTTTCTCTGGTCGTATGTGCTTTATCTGACACAACAGAAACCTGAATTTACAACAAATTAAAATATTAAAAATTGATAAAAACTAGCGAAAAATTTTAAACTGCAAACAACATTAATAATAGACTAAACAACATAATAATTACAGTTTCGCCAATTAACCCGTTCAATAATGTTGATTTTCCGGAATTCGGTGCGCCAACTATAACTACTTTTAAGATTTCTGGATTCGCTGGCTGTATCATTTCTTGGTTTTTGTTGGCAATCGGTGGTAATCGTTTTTCTACTCCTATTTTTTATATCATTTAAGAAATCATAAATCTTATATATGCTAATGAGTTATAATAATTGATCAAAGTTAGTTACCTGCCTGTTTTAATTCAAAAGGTGGTAATAGGGGCACTTTTATTTTCACCTCCTTAACTGGTTTCCGGAATCCCTTAACGACTCCTTGAGAAATTTTTATCATGTCTTTTTTGTCGTCGTCATCGTTTTCAATATCCTCTTTTTTATTATTAAACAAAAGTTGTGAGAATAACGAAGAAGTAGGAGACGCCATAGAAGTTTCAATTTTCGGGACATAAACTTTTTGTAGTCGCGTTCTAGTATGTGATTTCACTTTGGCCTTTTCGTTTGTTGGTGCTTTTGTATCGCCTGGTGAGTCCGCAGGTGGCGGTAATCCCGCAAAACGACGCGCACGAGACATTATAGAGTATGATTGTGTTGTTGTTCGTTGAGAGCATTTTCTGTGTATGCGTTTGTACTTGTCTTAATGAGACTAGGTTTAGTCAGAAACGGAGTTTAACAGGAACCCGAACGACATAAAATCTAATATTTATTAATAAATCTTTACCTAAGCTGGAAGGCGATATCGATAAAGAGAATTTAAAACGACAACGTGGTAGAATATAAAGTGATGATACTACAGACATTGCTTGTAAAATCAAAAGACGGCAAAAAAAAGTGTCGGTCATGTGATTCCGATCCATCTTTAAAACGGGAAGTCTACGGACAGTGCATAGGGACAGTGCAAAATCATGTGATCTTTCCGGCCAAGTGCCGGACAGTGC